GTCAAAGTAAAATTTGCAGATGTTCATGAAAGGTATGAAGCCTTCGGCATAGCCGAAGACAGCGCTGCTCTTACTTGTTTTAAATTTATTTTATACTTTTTAGCCTTGTCTGTATAAAATTTTGCAATAGATACTAAAATAATTCAACTTGCAGTGAAAAGAGAACAGAAGACTATGCAAGCAAAATATTGTTTGCTCACATTTAGTATATGCCTACATATGTACATACATACATATAGCAGCAATTAATTTCATTTAAAGAAATGGCGTGTCGTCCATTTCCACTGTAGGGTATTTAGTGCATATTTTTAACTTCTTCTGGCGAGGCGACATCTATCTCTAGAGTTTTTCTAATTGTATGTCTTGGATATGATACCTACGACAAGGTTGATATCTAGACTAGGTTTTATTTATAGTATATGGTGGTCTGGACATACCAAGATTGCAAGGTGATAAAAGCGTTGTAAAAAATAGATTAGCCATACGAAATTATAATTATAAAATTAAATTTGACAAGGGATGACGGAAAATCGTTCCACATTACATCACACTCCTACCCTGTCGGAAACACCAACAACAAAAATTAGAACCAAATTATCCCATATTAAACCGATAACTTTTTGGTGTCCACCCTAGTTTTATCGATTATACTTGCGAAGAAGAGGAGGAATGTCAAATGTAAAAGTAGATATAAACTGACACTAGTAAGGAAAATACGCTTGTAAATGTATTTAAAAAAAAAATATTCAGTTAAAATATATTTAAGTAGCATAATATGTGTAGCAGAAAAAAGTGACCACGGTGGCACAGAGAAGAAGTTTAACTTTTCCTCGAGTTGTGTGAATGACAAGCACATCCAATTTGACAGCTAACGAGCTTTGATTGACATTATATTTATATGTAAACGTACTTTTATGCTTAGCCGTTCGCATATGTTTACACATCAAATTTCATGAGTACCTAGTACTCACGCCTTTTTTAACCGCCTTCCAAAAAAGGAGGAGGTTATCAGTTCGTCGGAATATCTATATATATATATATATATATATATATATTTTTTTTAATGTATGTTACCGCGTAACTTTGGACCACGTCAACCGATTTCGATAATTCTTTTTGCAACGGAAAGGTAGTGTACTAATTTGGTTTAGATCCGATCATTGTATCATGAAATATTTAGATATATATATTTTTTTTTTAAGTCGGTTTTTTTTTGCTAAAAATTACTTGTTTATTTACAAATTGTATGAATGCTTTTTTAATTACAGTATTTAAAGAAAAGGCTCTATACTATACTTCTTAGAACCAGCTCAAAACTAGCCGCATTTGTTCTAGCCCGGAGGTGACTCTTTTTGATGTATCTAGGAACTGTTGTTATATGAACTGTCTAAGAACCCTCTAAGCCAGAGTCAGCTCCGAACAAGTTCAAAAGTTCTGCAGAGGGCGACAATTGTTATTTCGTAGAACATCGCCACGTTAAAAAAGACAGTTGAAAGCATTGATTTGGGATAGATGAAGAACCAATACTATCCCTTTTCAGGGTAGCTCAGCGCAAGTCCTGAACCAGTTTGGTTTGTTTCAGGGTGCTTTTTGGTTGGAAGGAATGTAGGAATATACACAAATATATGAATTATGGTGGTAATATATATGCATCTATGTTCATATAAATTACATACATGCATACGTGTAGTTAAAGTATATTCCAAGCGTACACTGCTCAGTATAATGGTGTATCTGCATGTTATTTTATTATAATGGTTGCGTTTATCTCTTATATAGACTATTATATAAAATTTATTTTATGGAAATTGTTTGTCACGACTTGGAGGATGGTTCCGTGCGCAGAAGTGGAAAACTTTTGACTGCCATTCACCTGGGAGTGGCCAGACGCGATTCTTGTGCGTACGGTTCAAATCGCAGCTCACAACGGCCGGATATTTATATCCACGTATCCTCTGGGTAGCAACCAAACACCCGTTTGGGAGCGAGCTAAAGTGAGAAGGCGTAAAACTTCGCGTGCGCTGGGTTCGGGTCCCGCCACGTTAAAACCCCGCCCAATGAAAAGAAGCAAACAGCCTCGGATGAGACCCCCTTTTTCTGATGACGACCACGGCAAACGTATAAAGGACTATGATTTAAGGGTATGCACCTGGAATATCCGGACCCTTAATGGGGAAGGTGCCTCTGCCCGGCTGGTTGATGCCCTCGGGAAGACAAAGGCTGACATCACCGCCATCCAAGAAATGCGATGGACGGGGCAAGGTAAAGTAAGCGTGAAGCCTTGCGACGTCTACTACAGTTGCCACGTAAAGGAGCGCAAATTCGGTGTTGGATTCGTGGTAGGAGAGAGACTCCGTCGCCGAGTACTGGCGTTCACCCCGGTGGACGAACGTCTAGCCACAATCCGCATCAAAGCTAGATTATTCAACATCTCGCTCATCTGCGCCCATGCCCCGACGGAAGAGAAGGATGAGGCGTCCAAGGATCTCTTCTATGAGCGCTTGGAACGTACATATGAGCGCTGCCCCCGACACGATGTCAAAATCGTGCTTGGCGATTTTAATGCCAAGGTGGGCAAGGAAGGGATCTTTGGCGCCACTGTCGGAAAATTCAGCCTCCACGACGAAACGTCCGTCGGGGCCCGAAATATGGTAATTTGTAGTACTAGGTTCCAGCATAAGAACATCCACCAAGCTACATGGCTGTCTCCAGATCGAAAAACGGGAAACCAAATCGATCATTTTGTGATAGACGGAAGGCATGCTTCAAGCGTTTTGGACGTACGTACACTCCGAGGGCCAAACATCGACTCGGACCACTATCTTGTTGTAGCCAGGATACGCACCCGCCTCTGTGCAGCAAAAAATGTGGGCCCAACAATGCAAGGAAAGCTTAACGTCGAAAAGCTGCAATCACAACAGACGGCCAATTTATTCGCCACTCGACTCACACACCTGCTCTCTGAGAGCACTATTCTACAATCCGACGTACGCGAGCAGTGGAACCACATTTCCCGATCATTAAGTACCGCCGCCGAAGAAGTAGTTGGATTTCAGCGAGCCCGAAAGAACAACTGGTACGATGAGGAATGTCAAGAAGCCGCAGAGAAAAAAGATGCCGCCTACAGGGCCACGCTGCGATCGGGCGCAACGCGAGCCATGTGGGACCGTTATAGGGAACTGAAGAAGGAAGCGAGACGTATTTGCCGCAATAAGAAGAGAGAGGCCGAAATACGTGAGTGCGAAGAGCTTGAGATGCTGGCCGACAGGAAGAACGCCCGAAAATTCTACCAGAGGGTTAGGCGACTTACGGAAGGTTTCAAGACCGGGGCGAACTCCTGTAAGAACAACAATGGCGACCTAGTGACCGATGTCCAGAATATACTTAAATTGTGGAGGGAACACTTTTATAACCTACTGAATGGTAGCAGCGCTGAAAGTAGTGAGGAAGACGAACCCGAGTCCCCAGTCGATGATGATGGAGTAGCTGTCCCACCGCCTGACTATGACGAGGTACGAATAGCGA